TTGAGCCATTGACCACAACTCTTTGAGCGGGGCCGGTTATCATGATAAGACAAAAGCCAGCTGCTTTGATAAATTACTTTATTGTTTGGAGGTAATGTGAAAGTGTTTTCATCTAGAGGCCTCATCATTATTTTCCCACAAGATCTTTCAGGATACCAAAAATGTAGCAGTACTGTTTACATTTTTTTTTAAGTCAGTTAAATGCTATTTGGTTTTCCAGAGCTTTTAAGATAAGGAGCTAAACTTCATTGTGTCCCAATACAGAACATCACACAGCTGTGAATTAAAGTAAGCTTAACAGCAACACAGAGCTGCATCTTGACAGCCAGTTCCTGAAAAACAATCATCCTGCTTCCTCTGACCCTGAGTGCACACTCCCCATGCAAAATGCAGGCACTTACTGACCCTGCTATGGGTCAGCTGAGGGAGCTAAACCAGCAATAAAGAAGTAGTGACTGTCCCTTTGAGATACAGCTCCCTGTAAAATGTTAAGCCACATCCTGAGGTCTTCTATGACTATTCTCCTAGTCTCGGAGAGACAATTCTTTGCCTTAACTTCCCTGGCTCGAACAAGTTTTGCTTCTCGCCTACGTCGCAAAGGCATTATATACATTCTTAAAAATCAGATGGAAAGCACTGATTGTTTACTGAAATGAAATCGCTCCATAAGAGAAAATTAGCAAACCAGTGCTTAATATAACATTCACTACATGGAATGTAACACTTTCATGAGACAGTAAAAGTTCACACTGAACTGAGTCACCTATAGTAGTTTACTAAATACAAACTTTCCATTTTTAAAACAGAAGAGTTACTTTCTCTGCAAGTACTCTAAGTTGCTCAAATATAAAAGACCAAATTTTATTTTCTAAGAGAAAAATAAGAACAATTCAAGGCCAAAGTATCAGCAAGGAAGACGAATATGTGTAAGTAGACAAGAGATTTTTAATAAATCTGCATGGGCATTTGCAAGGTTATGCCTCTATCTATTAGCTAACCTGTAAAGCTGTTCCCAGGAAAAGTTACTAGAGAAAAATAGACATTTATACAAAATTATAAAATGCTTGTTACATGAATTATTGCTTTACAAGGGATGTAAACATCCTTTTTCTATGATAGTACCAATTAGGTCTCTCAAAATTTCTAAGGTTTGTTAAAATGGAACTTGAATTATGCAAAAAATTCAATATAAACTTTCTACAAAAAAGAGTCCATCCCATTCCTGAGTATGCTAAAGCTATAAAACAGAAGGAGCACTGAGCAGGCAGCAGATTTCACAGTAAGAGGTTTAAGGACATTTTCTTTCTACACACTGTTTCCCTCCTTCTTCATATTCTTGTTTAGAAATCCACATCTGTTGAAAAGTACCCTAAAAAAAACAAACCACCACAACAACAAAACACGCACACACACACACACAAAAAAAAAAATCAGAAAACAAATGAAGGTTAAGCGAAACATGATTAGCTTTTCCTAGGATGAAAACCAATTAAGTCGCTACATTAAATGATGTAAGAGGACTTGACCTGCTTATCTTTTCCTTTGAGTTTTATATTGCTAGTGATTAAACTATACCAAAAGCTGATTTAAATCTCCCTTTCCCATACTGATAAACTAATCCCCACAAACCATTTCAGTATTGAGTAACTTGTAGAATTAAGCTCATGAATATGATGCAGAAACAGCTTTGCTACTTTCATGACGTACTATATACACGTCATTTCTAGGCATGATATTTCAAGCCTGCACCTTGCCATTAAAAAATGGGAGCATGTGGGAAGTTATTTTTTGATTGGAAATGCTTGTCTTGTTTTTTAAATAGATTCTCTTCACCTTACCACAAGGACAGACAAGATTACCATTGTTATGGTAGCACAAACTCTGCAATGCACACTTATGCGGAATTAGATACAGTGCTGCTTGGCATAGAAACATAGTAACACAGGTTTACCTACCAAAGAAGCCAAAATGGAACCACCAATCCATGAGCTGAAACGCCGCTCCACTGTTGTGTTGTTTGCTATCAACTTCAGGCGCATGCTCTGAAAAGGAGGTAAAATGAGAGAACAATTAGACAAGTTGTAGGGTAGTGACCTTTAGGGACAAGAGAAGGACAGCACAAGGAAATTGGTGTATGTACCAACATGCAGGTGAAAAAGGTCAATTTTAGTAAACTTGCAATAATGCTCATCTACCCTGTATTTAGAATTCAATAATAGCCATAGTGGAACAGCACACACGTGCCTTTTATCTTGTCTCCCAACAGGAAGCAGTAGCAAATGCTTAAGGCTAGAAACAGGGTAGGTAGAGAGCAATAACACAGTAGATAGTGGCATCTCTAACACTGGGGTACTTCAAATGTGCACTGGTACAAGTGTCTAACATTGCTCAACTTGATCAATCTAGTCCTTTTTGGACAAATTAATTCCTTTTGCTTTCAAAAGGCCTTGTAGCAATAAAAATCTTTGAATTTCAGGTATTAAAAGAAGCAGCAAGTAACTATCTTTCTCAGTTTCTCATAACATTCATGATTTCAGAGTTGCTACAAGTTTAACATTTTATTGTGAATATGGATGTTCAAGAAATATCTCTCAAGAACACAGGTGTAAGGTGTTAATACTTTCTTTGACATCTGGTGATTAAAAAAACCCAAAAATTCAAGTATGTTAAACGACCAGGTTTTATCTTTGAGTATGTTGAGTGGCCCGTAGAATTCAGGAAGAACAATTCCCATGACAAAGTGACAAGACCTCAGGCAGAGTGACTGAATGTGCCTCAAGTTAGTCAGCAACATTTCGGGAGAAAGGCCGTCAAGGGAAATAGTGACTGTTGCATAGGAACAATTACAGAACTTAAGAGTCACAATCTGAAAGCAGGAATAGGGAAGCAGAATGTTCATAAAACAGTTATAATAGCTGTTGGAATTAATTTTATAACTTTTCAAGACTTCTTTATTTTATTTAAAGAAAGAGGAGATTTCTTATCCCACAGAAATATCTTCAGCTGTTGGGTTCTAACAAAATCAAAGCTATGATACATGCTTGCCTATTTATGTGGCAAAAAAGCAAAATGAGTGGCTCAATGCAGTAATTTAAAGAGTTGTTTTACCGGTGGAGTTTTCTGAGACAGCTCCCTGTTCAATCTGTCTGTGAAACTCTGTATTAGAGTGTTTCCTCCTGCTACAATCACACTGCCATAGAGGCCCTAAAAAGAGAATAAGCAATCTACAATATTAACACTGAAATCATTCTGAAAACAACTGTTTCACACAATATAGAGAGGAATGGCACAGAAGTACGTATAATCAACAATCATTGATGCTAACAATATTACCTCTACCAATCCAATTAATTTTTTAATCACTTGAAAATATTTCAAGACAGCTTAATATTAAACTATACAAGGAAGACAGAAGCTATGTAATTAACAATTCTAAGTCATTTCACAGAATATTTTCTACTATAGAGAACTCTACACCTACAGGCATCTCCTGTATCCGAACCGTTGGTTTTCTTACAGCTGGATGTTCCAACCACAAATGAAAACCCCCACAGTACTGCAACAGTTTTCAGTCTCACTAATGCTGCAGCTGGTGAACACAAACCATGGCCTGGCCTACGCAGCCTGCCTGACACACCAGTCAAGAGGAAAAATTTTTTAAACAACTCCGATACAGTCTGTATCAAACCTGAATATTTTCAAATTGACACCCGAGAAAGTTAGAACATCGTTTCAAAAATAAAGTTTTCCTTTGAAACCTCTTTTATTCTTTCTACTCTCTACAAAAGTTCCATATGATCAGTTATGTTTAGAAAGTATATCTGCCACACACACAGATCTGAAGATCACACTCAAAGTTATGAACGTAAAATGTCCATCTGAAGCCAATCCAATGCACATTACGCAGTGCCAGACACAGAATCTGGACATTAGCTATTTAAATATAGGTAGAAACACTGACTAGAAGTAAAAAATCCTGATTTAGTATTTTGTAAGACAAAACAGTAATTGTATATATTCCTGTATACAAATATGTAATACTTGGAGAATTATTCTAATGTGTTTATCATTATCCTAGGAAATCCACATTTCTTCATCGACAGTGTTCTAGTCCCCAAAAAAATACATCAGCACAAAAATATCTATGCCTTAAAATAATACATGTCTGACTAACACTTACCGGCCTGATGTCTATATCACACATTCCAACGCTTGTTGTGACAACGTGGCTCACACCCAACATCGTGTTACCAGATAAACCCTAGAATTAAAATTAGTAATCTACATATCATTGCTTCAAAAGAGCAAGGCACTTAAAAGCCCCGAATGAGATGAATTTATAATTATTACTAGAGAGGGAGCTAAGCATTTTTACAGGGAAGGAAAAAAAAAATTTCCTCTTTTCCCATTCAGCTCATCACCACCCATTTTGAACTACATTTCGTGCTTTGCTTGGCCAACCCTACTACAAGACAGGCAAATTTTACCCCCAAGAGAATCACACAGTGTAAATATACACACACAAATCATAAAATTAATAACATCATACAAAAGGAAGCCATGCGATAATCTAGTAATTTAAAGCCTTCCAATTACTACATATCATAGTTGTTTTACCTTTACATTAGAAGGGTCAAACAATCCCTCAGGAATTTTTAGACGCTCAGCACCAAAATCACAGTTATAGCCGTTGGGGAACTCGTAATGAACTGTTGGCATCTGTGCTGCTACCCTGGAGCATCAGTCAGAAAGTACCATATTAAAATGCGATGTAAACAGATAAACTTAAGATAAACTTAAGTTATCTAAGTAGCACTATAAACTAAGGTTTTAATGGGAATATTGTGATTGATATGACTTATGCTTTTGATAATATTATGATCCCATACATCTTGGAATATCAAATTAACAACTGTCACCTGGATGTACAATGTATTTCTACTTTCAGAAATAAATAGTGTTTATATCTAAAAATTTCTTCTGCAATAAAATCAGCCAACAGCAATGAATAGGCTGAGCACCCCATGCACAACTGATATTTTACAAGAAGGAAACCAGTGACGTACTGTTCATCATAGGTCGAATCTGATACTTGGAGGACAGAAGCTTGGAAGTCCTGAATGACACACTATGGAGTTAAGAATAATATGGTTATTAGAATTTCAGTCTCCAACTTTATAGAATTTAATACTGACTTTTAAAAGATTTTCTAGTTCTTCAAGAGGAAAACCTGACATACTTGCAAACAAAACTTCTTTATGGGATGCCTAGGGGAGTTTGAGAGTGGGAGAAACCACCTACTTACATTACACATGTAGTTGTGCCAAGACCTAGTGACCTGCGGTAACTTCTCTTTTCTCTTCCAATTTGCTGGTGACCCCTCACGAACTGCCTCCTGACATTGTAGGAAACATGATCATCAATTAACCATTTAAGCCTCTCCCCAAGCAAACAGTTACTAAATAAAGTTACTTTCCCACCTTTGAAGCAATCATATATGGAGGAATTATCTCTATGTTCATTTCCTGAAACAATTCCCGGCACTGCATAGTAATAAAGTCTCCTGCAAGTGGTGATTTTACAATGCCTAGAAGACAAAAAGAGAACCAAAAAACAAAAACAGCCACCAAGCTGGAAAGCACTGAAATAAGGAATAAACTCTCCCAGCAAACTATTTGTTAGTGAACACTGTTAGGTTTTTCCCCCTATTTAAGGGGATACACAGATTTAAAAAAAATAAAACAACTGTACAAGCACAAAGGAAGTTAACTTGACCTTCATACTACAATGCTGTTACCCATGAAAATTTTTACCTTGCTGAAGTACATATCCATCATGCACTGGAATAGCAGTGGTGTGTGTTGCTCCACTATCCAAAATGAGACCTGTAGATCTCCCATTAGCAAAACTAGCCAAAACGATTAAGGAAAATATTGTCATTTTCACTTTTTAAAAAATGTTGCCATACAATTAGAGCATCACTAGGAATGAGGACTCCAGTATGTTATTCCTTGTCTCTATAAAAGGATTTGCCGTTGTCCAGTGCGTATCATCTTTCTATGAAACGCACAGCCTCATAGAGAGAATGACATTTAACTTCTACCTGTGAACTAACTTGAGCTTTGGACATACAAAGGTGAGACTTCACGTCAATGCTATGCAGCAAGCTCTAAGGACATCCAACTCATTTAGACTCTGAAGCTGAAAACATGTTATTATTTTAAAATAATTACAAATATTCATCTTAAGGCTATGGAAACTTCAAACTCTAATTACTGTATTTAGTAGTCTGGACAACACCATTTCAGGTCTGTAATATTCTTACCCATAGTATACAATGGGAAAAAAATTAAAAAGAGAAGAAAAAACCAAAACAAAACAAAACACATCACCTCCAAGGAAAACAGTCATATTGGGAGAACTTCAAAACTGAGCTCTAAAGCTTTAAAGTTCAGAAACGGAATTTGTTTACTTCCTCCTTAGACATTTACGGAAAAAATTAATTTGAAACAAGTTAGACATGGTGGCATACTAGGAATTGCCTAGAATAAGTTTACCGTAATTTCCTGGGGAAGGGGGGAAATAAAAACAAAAAAACAAGAACAGTGAAACATTCCAAAGGATACGCTGTTAGAACAGCAGTTTTACACAAGAAAAAAGCAGGGATGTTGTAGTGTTCAAACATCAATTCAGTCAGTTTTTCACGCTTTGCTCTAGTATTCCACTAGAAGAAAAAAAATAAACCAAGCCACAAATAAGTGACTCAAAGGAAGATACGTTTATCTTGAGGATCATTAGAGCACACTAAAAGAATACTAACATAATAAAGAATTGGAATTATTATAGCCATGGTTTCAAATCATATAAAAATTCCATAGAGAGAGATTTCTACTAATTCACTTCTTTAGAACCCTTCTTATTCCAATTCTACTACAATACATTAATGCTTATCTATCACACAGAATTAAATGTGATACACACTTTTACTGTTACAATAGAGATTTCTTTACACTTCTACAGCTTCTCCAGTATCAGGTTCTCAAAGAACTCTCTAAAACAAGTAATATGCCCATTTTACAAGGGGAAAGATACATGAAATAACTTGCCCAGTTGAAAGAAAAATAAATCCAGATTTTCCTGTTTCCAAGGTATCTTCCTACAGTTCTACTACACTTGCGATTAAGCCAGCATATATATCAAATATTCTACACATTACTGAATATGTGGAGTTTGTTCCAAGCCAACACACTGAGCCATCAAACATGAAATAACCATTGCAAATTCATCCATACTCTTCAAGCTACAACTGAATACAAGGGAAAAATGAAAAAGAAAATCCTTTTCATAAGTTTTTATCAAAGAGAGGCATAACTTCAACCTTTTGTATTACGACTTTAAGATCTGCCCTTCAAATGCTGAGCATTATTAAATGACAGCAACATTGACCATGTATTTTCCCAGAAATTTGTATTCATCCACTTCACTTACCTTACAGGGCCATTTACAGGAATGAAGACAGAAAAAATAAAACTTATCTATTATAAATATTACTCTCTGTCATGTAATATTAGTTGTAAGGCTGAATGAAGTGACAGATTTTCAATGGTATTTATTAAGCGTAACTTAATACATACTAAGACATCCATACATCTTTTTGCTTTTATTCTAGGCAGTAAAGTGAGATTTATTATTTTTTAATTTTGACTTTTTTTCTGTAAGTGAAAAACAATAGAACATTGTAAATACTTTCCAATACAACTCATGCAAACTATTTCAAATTGTTTTCTTTTTTAGACACTTTTCTTAAACAGATTAGCTTCCAGACCCTGGGAAAGTATTTTAAATTGTTATTTCTGTAGCTAAGTTTTAACACTTGTAACCTACAAGCCAATGTCAGACTTGTCCAAGACTAATGTTTGTAGAGTCAGCAAGAAGATACAGTTAAGACTTAAAAAAAAGCAAAGCTGCTTTTACTCACTGGTGCTTCGGACATAAGGACAGGATGCAAACTTGCTTCAGATTTAATATGCATCTTGTAAGTGTGGTCCAGAATTGCCTGGAAACTATCCCAGTCTTCAACTGTAACAACATTGAAGTGAGCAGATTAATTACTCCTAAGTTTTGTTCCATTTCATAAATACATAAAAGTTTTCCAATGATTTTTTGCACAGAGCTCTTCAGACAAAAGCTATCCACATACACTTCTTTTAATAGCTTTGCAGAATTCCCTTCCTCTGTAATCATCATGTTCATAACATTTCAAGAATTATGCTAAGAGTCCACTAGCACTGTAAACCAACTGTACTTCATGCGATTTGTAAATCTGGTATCCGTTCTAACTGCTTCTGTTGCCATACATATAGCATCTGTTTACATGAAAACTATGACTTTTCACAGCCTAGCAACGCTATTTTAAAAACAGGTAGAAAAAGTCAGAGCACCATACTCATTCCATTTTTTAAAGGTGAAATGGCCTCCATATTTTCCCTTGGAACTCTCAGAGCATTGGTGTCTATGTAGTAAGTTGGGCCCCCTTGTTTGCCTTTGTCACCATCTATCTCCATCAGAGTGCTGCCATTGTCCCTTTCTAGCACCACACCAATGGCTGTTGGAAAATCAACCTGTAAGGCAAAAGGTAAGCAGTACATGAGAATTATGAATGTTTTGGGTGTTTTTTTGCTCATAAATTCAGAGCTTTCCTTACACAATGCAGTCAGAACAAAACCCAGCATATTCTGAAAACTCATAACTAATAAACAAGACCTAAGGCATCAATTTATGTTGCATTTCCACTGAGTCGGACAGATTCTCACCTTTGGACAGTCCTCGCCTGCATAGCCTGCTCTCACTGTATACGAGCCGATGTCAAAAACAAGAGCCCCAACTTCATCTGAAAAGATCATTGATAAAGAGGTTGTCAATGATTATTACACTCTACTACAATCCTGACCTTCCTCTGCCCAATGTCTGTTTTGCTTACAAAAGAAGAAGGCACCTTTTTCAAGGCAAGAAGAAACTTCTCTATTCAGAACTCGTTACCAGGGAGCTATTAGAAGACTTCAGATAGGCTTTAATTGGGACACTGCAATACCTTCCCCTTTGGCATAAGGAGAAGGGGAATTTTAACAAAAGAGACAGAACAGAGCTGCATCTAAATAGATGACAAGACAAAGCTTTCAAAAAGCGCTAACTTCACAGTCACACGAAGCCAGGTGAGCCCAGACCTCCCAGGGGTGATGAGAACCAGAAAGGAGAGCCTGAAAACACCAAATCTGTGAGTGAAGACTGCCACACCACGAAGCGCCCTCATCCTCACGGCCCCGCTCCCCGCCGGGGTGCTCTGCGCACCCTCGAGAAAGCCAAAGCCTGAAACAGAACCCCTGGACTTCGGTCCTCACGGAAGGGTGTGCAGAAGTGCTCTGGGAGGAAACTACACCTCAGTTTCCAAAGCGCGGGGTCTTCTCGCCCCACCCCCCGGCACCCCAGCGGCGTTAATTCAGCTCAAGGCCGCGGCTTGGCCGGTCTCCGGAGGAAGCACCTCAGCGAGACGTCGCCGGGAGGGACATAAACAAGGCCCGCAGCCGCCTCCTCTTCCTCACTCATGCTGCCAG